GGTAAACATAGAAAGAGCAATAATAGTAAAACTCGAGCGTCACGACATTGCGAAGTGTCTGCTCTTGTTCCTCGTATCGTACTCACTCGAGTCAATCCGAGATGGCCCGAGTGAAGTTTCATGCAAATGTTTCGTACGAAAAAAAAATCGCGGCCGGCTCAGGTTCGGCTTGCGTTCAGATATAAAGTTGGGTCGGCCCAGGGCCCGCATTGCGGGACCTGAGCCGACTCAAAAGACGGACTATTAAACTTTAGGTCGGCTCAGGGCCGGCTTAACATTTATTGATTGTTCACACTTAAAAATTGCCGACATCGGCCCTGATGCGGCCCTGGGCCGACGTAACTCTCAAGTGTGATTGGGCTATATCTTTGGTAGGGTTACTAGTAGATGGATTTATATAGCGCAAATAAACGAGGTCTCTATACGCTAGACAATATTGAAGTCAAGAACACAAAGAAAAAAGCCGGAAAAAAACCCCAAAACACACACACACACTGCCATTGTTAAAGATTAAGAGGTGGTTAACACAGATGTACCCTACGACAGAAGTCTTCCTAAAAGTCACTCTGCCACAGGCCCAATCCTCTGTGTTTCAGTCAACAAAACAAAAGGCTGCCAGTGCGAGCTTGTGGCTTTACTGCATGACTAGATACAGTTATCTGTGGTCTGACCTAGGGTCAAGAATTGCACTACTAACAGCCAGCCCACAATCCTCTGTACAGAAAATATAAAAAGTTGGTATAACAACATAATGAACAGCCATAATATACTACTCAACTTCCATAATATACTGCTCAACTGCCATATACAAATGAACTGCAATGAAATAATAGTGATGTGTATAACATCATAAGGAAGGAGATAATATAATAATGAATTAAACAAATTAATAATGAATGTACATAATTAATAATAGTGTATTGATAATATAATACTAAACTTTTATAATATAATAATAAATGAACGACATAATAACAACATACATAATATAATATTAGACGTAATAATATAATACTAAACATACATAATATAACACAAACGTAAATAATACAATAATAAACATACATTGTGAAAGGCCCCCAAACCTATTGTAGGGGGCGATATTGTTAAGGGCGATATATTTCAAGTCGTCATCGGTCACGTGATTAATTTTATTAGCGTGGGTCAGTGGTGTCCAGGAGATGACGTGTATTTGCCGACCACTCATTTGAATTTTAGATCATGTGCATTTATGGTATGTTTTGTATTTTCTTCATAATTTATACTTTGTTATTATTAATAAGTACATTTTGATGATTAACTTGATTATCGTCGGTTAGTTTCACTTTATTATGAGTATTAAAATTCAATTAATAATGCTATATTTTCTAGAGTTACTGCTTGGAACATCGTTAAAACTACTGTATATCGTTCTGTACAGTATTATGGCTTTCTAAATAGTTGATAATTTGATGAATCTACCGTGAAGAAAAAGTAAAATTGTTAGAGTACTCATTGTTCTATTAATTCAGAGCTTTAAGATCGCCATATATTGTATAGCATTGATAAACTAGCATTCTTAGCTTGTACTCCATTGCATTGTAAGACAAGCGTGCTTTGACAGGCAGCAAGCATGGTTTTATGACCGACCCTGAGGTCACGGGTCATTGTTGGATTTAAACAAATATGGCTGCGCCCATAGGCGTGCATTAACCAGTCACATTTTGGCCTTTGAGCTTACCAATAGTGGTAGCGTAGTACGCTTTATAGTTTTGTATACTGTAATTTAACTTAATACTTAATGATAGAATCCTAGTATTGATGCTAGTTTATCGTACTTTATTTGTGATAATTTAGTTCTATTGTATGTTATTTCATTGTTGTTTTATGATAAGTTTAAAGGTCTTACGTTGAGAGTAAACGTTACCGAGGCACGCAATTATAACATACGTAACGCCAATACAATGTCTATTATATGGTTATACATTATTTGGTCATAAATTTATTTACAGAGTTAAGATAATGCACATTGAGATATCCTGATGATATTGATTGATGTTGCGCAATAGCTTTTGTAAGTTAAAATTGTATTTGGAGATAGAGAAGTTGACATTACTCTTATTTATGTTGTTTTATTTATGATGGTGATATATTCACATATAGAATCGATATTTGTTTATTAAGATTAAGACTAAGCTACTATGTTGATTGATAATGTTCTATCATTGTAGTAATGTTAATAATAGTTGATTGCTATATTCCATGCTGGTGTATTTATGATTCATATTATAGAATATAATATGAAATACTTCATAATGTGCATTAGTTCATTTTGGTATCCTTTTACATTATTATTTCTGATATGCATTTTTTATTCTTTTTTATTACGGTCTTATTTTTATTATTATCTTTCTGTTTTGTCACCAGACAGTCGAACAGACAGTCAGAGAGACAAAGGAGTGTAATAAAGTTATTTACATGTTGACACGTACGCAGTTGTCGCTGGTGTTTGTTATTGTCTGAGTTGGGAACTTTGGCGCCCTCAACCACGAAATAACCAAGTTGATCCCGTGAGGTCGACTACATACATAATACAATAACAAACGTGTATAATATAATACTTAACCTATATAATATAACAACAAACGTAAATAATATCATACTAAACGTACATAATATAATAACGTCAATAGTATGTTACTATATGTAAATAATAAAATAAACGTATGTAATATAATAATAATAAACGTACGTAATATACTAATAAACGCACATAATATATACTGAACGTACATAATATAATAATAAACGTATATAATATAATAATAAACGTACATCATGTAATAATAAACGTCTGTAATATAATAATAAACATGTATAATATAATAATAAACGTACATAATATACTAATAGACGTAAATAATATAATGGTAAACATATATAATATAATAATAACGTACATAATATAATAAAAGACAAATAATATAACATGAAACCTACATAATATTATAACAAACGTAAATAGTATAATACTAAACATATATAATATAGTAACAAACGTATACAATATAATAATAAACGTACGTAATATAATAATAACGTACATAATATATTACTAAATGTAAATAATATAATAAACGTACGTAATATAATAATAACGTACATAATATAATAATAAATGTAAATAATATAACAATAAATATATTTAATATAATAATAAACGGGCATAATATAATAATAAACGCATATAATATAATAATAAACATATATAATATAATAATTTTAAAAAAAAAATTTAATAATAAACGTACATAATATACTAATATGCATAAATAATATAATAATAAACATATATAATATAATAATAATTTTAAATAATAATAATAATAAATGTAAATAATATAATATCAAACGTAAATAATATAATAGCAAACATAAATAATGTAATAGTTTTTGTAGGCTTAAGACAGCTGGGGCTTGCCATATCTAGGCCTTGCGTTGATGTAGCATCGGTGTAAGCATAGCCACTTCGTAAATAAAAACTTTCAAGTGTAACAGTATCGAAATGACCCCAAACTCATCGATTGTGCCAGTGGGGGAGGGGTGGGGGCGAAGGGGCCGCGGAAGGTTCTCCTACTAATAAACAGCACTCTTGTAACAGAGCCTTGACATACTAAGGTCCAGTAGAAGACACCAAAAAGCCATCTTTGTGCTTGAAATTATATGTAGCCTATGTCGAACTACAGTACGTCCGTATGCGCTGGCCGTCCTCTTGTCTACTACAAAAGGAACCGATATATATTGTGGCGGCGCTACAGAAAGGATACCCCTTTTTGGATATGAGAGGCGGATACCCCCCCCCCCCCCCCCGCCCCCATGGTCGGGGATTAAAAAAATATATATATTTTATAACATTTAGGCCTGTATCTAATATTGCCCTGAATTGGACAGGCCTACATATTAATCGTTTGAACAAAGATGCCCTGTATGTGAGCTGGCAGCATATGTATTTTATAAAAATTGATCAATGGGGAGGAGGGTCACTGCCACGGAAAACTCTGGACTTGCACCAATGGGGAAAGGAAAGAATCATATAGTTGGTCACTTCGTCTACAACAATTGGCCGGTGGTTCCAGACAGAGTACTTGCTCAATTAAGGCCTAGAAAAAAATATGAATTTAACTTACAACGAAAGCGAACATTCCTAGGAACTCAGACCAAAATTTTTTGTATACATTTTGTTTGCAACGTATTTTCCTAATGTATTTCTCGTACCACAAAGCCATTTTAGTAGTTAGCCCGAAAAGCTTGTCTCTTCTTAAGGGTATGAAATTTCGCAAACCGGATTTTTATCTTGCAATTTGGCTGGTGCTGTACTTGACCTTGTCTGTCGAGGGGCGTGGTTTCACACTTTTCATATAAGTTTGGGCACTCGGACGTCGTGTTATCGCCGTTTTTATTTGGCACGTGATTCAGTGGTTGTGTGCGTGGAAGCGCTCGGAAGGGACCATTATAAAATAGGGGTAGGGTTAGGGTTAAGATTAGGGGTGGAAACAGATTAAATTATTTAAAATTTCTTGAACTAAGGAAATAATTACAGAAATAATTGTTCGGTATTTACGTTTTGATCTTCTTAACCTAGCCAAAAAATGAGGCTTTTCTCGTCTAATTAATGACCCTATTAAGATGGTATTTGTCCGCTTATCTGGAATGGAACCGTAGAAAACAAAACATGTCGTGCTACAACAATTATACTAGAAAAGCATTAGAAATATAGCTATATGTTCTGTTTAATTAATACGTATATATATTAATATGTATATATACTGTCTCTTATACACATCTAGATGTGTATAAGAGACAGCAGCCGGACGACCCCTCTCTCCTCTCTAATTTTTTTCAAACTTATTAAAATAAAATGGAGAAAAAAGAAAATTATATTCAAATTTAAGTCGGTGCCATAATCATAAATGGTCTTACCTCAGCCCCAACCATGGATGGGCCTTGAGGTGGACCAAGTCGAATGGCCGAGCCGCGGCTAAGGCAAGGACACCGCAACCTACAGCCATAATATCGGCGCTGGTTCGAACCATATCGGCGCTGGTTAATATCGCCTGTGGTTCTGGTGGTGGAACAAGTATTCTCGGATAAGGATTATACACCGTACCGTAGGCACAGTGTACACATGTCTCTTATACACATCTAGATGTGTATAAGAGACAGGTATGCCATGTTCTGTACTGTACGGAAGAATGCTGTTTCAGGCAAACGTCAATGAAATATGATAATTCCAACGATCTACCCCTTTTTCTAGACTTTCCCCAAGTTTTTAAATATTCAAAAATATATAGGCATATCTCATTAAGCGCTTTTTATCTCATTAACCAAGTTATTCGTCAAAAGTAATAATAATAGGCCTAAGAGCGTGTTAACGTTTCTAGTGTTTATTGCACATTTTCTCCTATGTAGATACCAGATAGAGTTCACTTTGATGTCACAATACACTGGCACAAAAAGTTTTATCTAATAGTGTGAATCATGAATTTTTGGTCATAGTCATAAGCATGCGCATTAAAGAATTTCGTAGTTGATTATTGAACTGCAGTGTCGTGTGTAAAATAAAAAAATTAAAAAAAGAGTTTTACGACTTGGCATATCATATGTTTAGGCCTATATATGTGTAATTTAATTGGCCTCCTAATCGATCGATTTCTACTTGCTTCCATGCGACATAAAACGGACTGTATCTACACCTGTCTCTTATACACATCTAGATGTGTATAAGAGACAGGCTGTATGCAGTATCTTGATGCATCAACTGCCACCAAAAATAATAGCCTGCGTTACTGGTTATAGCTGCATGCGTCGTGATATTCTTGTTGACAACAAGAATGTTTGTATTGGCAACCTAGTATACAAATATTGACTGCTCATGAGGGGAATGGTGAAATCTATTGCCCTTAGGTGATGTAAAGACTCATCCCAGAGGAGCTATAGATTTTACTGTTCCCCGATTCTTGAGCAATCAATATTTGTTTTATATACCTCATACATAAAAATAATGAAAAGAGTAGGCCTAGGCTTACTTCCTAGGCCTAGGCGATCAAAGGGCCAATCATTCTCAGCGTCATAGAGGTTGCATCTGCTTTGCCGTCCATGTGTGTCATAAACTACATAGCAATGTTACAGGTTGGCCTAGAGATTACCTCGTGACAGGGCAATACAGAACTATCATTTGACGTTAGTACTTTTTTCCCCAGGAACTGTCTCTTATACACATCTAGATGTGTATAAGAGACAGCCCCAGTGAAGTCAGGTGAAGATTTGAACAGTTCAGTTAACATTGGAGAAGGTGAGTATGCTTTCTCTTCTTGTGAACATAACAGCAATTTTTAATTGTTAAGCTATTTAAATGCTCAAAGCAATAACTTAGAAGTACCTCTCTCTCAATTTCTCTTTAGATATAACATCTGAAAGCAGCGTTGTCACCACAAATCAAGGAAACCGAGTTATCATCAAAGTCGGTGGGCCTCTTGAAGTTTTTCTATCACCTCTAATGCTGCCAGCCATGCAAAAGTAAATCAAGTTTATTTAATTTACATTATTTTTCATTTAAATTATGTAAGGTTGTATGGTCCTTTAAACAATACTTTATTAATAATTGTTTTTTTTAATCAGGCTGGTATCTGTGTTATTACCGATTGTCAGTAACTTAAGTCCTGCTTTGGTAGTGGACCATTTGCATTCATCATGTTTAAGTCAGGTGGAGAAAACTGTCGACAAGTCGAAGGAAGAAACAGAGTTATCTCATACTCAATTGACTGTGAATCTCAAACAGGTAGAGATGTGTATAAGAGACAGATCTAGATTCATCTGATCTGAACGTGTTGCAAATATTATCAGCAGAGTGCTCGATGGTAATGCAACCAGAGCGAATTAAAGACAAAAAATGAGAGGTTCAACAGTAGCTTTGATTTGATATATAGTAAAATTTCTCATCATCATAGTCAAAATAAAACATCAACAAATTTCCTCGATGTTTTCTACCAACAAAAATTTGATAGCACTTGATTCATGACAATATCATATTCGCTCTTCCCACATATGTCAAGTCTGGTCACTGGTTGTTATGAGTCAGTGAAGGAAAGTTTTTATGTCTTGTATACAGAGAGCCCTGCACATTATTCAGAAAATGTCCTCGCATTAAGATAACTTCTATAAATATTTTAAAATGTTTGAACAACAATTTATACCATTCTTGGTTCAATTCGAGATGATATAGAGAAGGAAGAAATCGTTATCCTAAAAGGCATAAGTGGGAAGGAAAAACTGGCAATATTATGTCTTTAGCCAAAAAATACTATGAAAAAATCTGAAATACTACTGGGTAATAGTAACAAAAAACATTTATATCAAAAACATTATATCCACTAATCGTTGAAAACATGACAATCAACCAGTCACAGAAAAACAATTACTGTATACATATTTAATTCACAGTGTGAATGCATACCAAGTTTGGTTTTGCTGGTTAGAGCATAGTGCAAATCACAATAAGTTACATTATGACCTGACATGACATGAATGTAAATGATAATATAAATTGTAGACTGTAATACAATGTTAATATTAGGATTGTACAACAAACGGCATAAAACAAATATATACATATCAAAATTTATTAGGCTGAACTTTTCACTTCGGTGCGTGAATAAAAACGAATTCGTTAGAAATTAGATATACAGTAGCATGTGTGTAATGTTGTTAATCACTTAAAAAAATTCCCTGTAATAATATTTATTTAAAAACCTTTAAAAGAGTGTACTTCCTTTTAATTTACGGAAGTATAAATTTATATGGGTCTAAAGTGTTCTATGTTTAGAAGTTCAAAATTCCAATTCAAAAACTGTTATTGGCCAAATTATATAAAACATACAATTGGAAATTTTCGCTAGATTGGCCTGCACTTCGTAGCATTATCTAGTGTCTTTTTATCATAAAAAGTCAAATACACAAACAAATATTAAACCTTCATTTAAAATACATTGTGTAAAATATATTTCTATCGCCCAAGTTAAAAATTTTGATTTAAAACACCATAAAAAGGAAAAACACTTAGTATAAAAAACAATTTTAAAAGGTTCCTATCGACTGCATGATTTATTAAAAATAACAATTAAAGTTAGGACAAACGACTTTATTATTGTATAGATGTTCTTCAGTAAATACTTCGTAAACGGCATCCTGACCGTAAAAAGTTATTGTCTATGGACACAGGATGGTTAATGTTTCACAGGATTCATTTAACTTGCGCTATAACTGATTCATTAAATTCCAGAAGCCAGCATCACAGCAATGTTCAACAGATTGGCGTGGGAGACACTGAAAAAGTGGCGAACAAAAGCCCGTCTTGCCAAGTTTTAAAAAAATCCATTATAGTCAAAGTTGCAATCACCATGAGGCTTGCTTCTAAAAGCCATCAACATTCGAAAAGAAGAGAAAATAGTCTTGCTTATCACAGGTCAACATCATGTGCAGACTATCATAAGAACTCTTTTTTCCTGAACTGCCGAACAGTGGAACAAGGTTCCTGAAGCAACTGTGAGAGCTCCGTCGATTAAGGCTTTCAGGGGATGCATTTAGTCCTGCTAATATAAATCAAGACTACTTCTGTTTGTATTGTAATGTCCTATGTTTCATAGTTTTGTTAGTTTAGCTGGTAGAAAGGGAATCAATAGACACGCTTTACAAAAGGCAAAGTGTGGTCAATATAAGGAAGCCCCTATACCCTTGATGAGTTCCTGGTTTCCCTGACCTGGAGAGAGAGTACCTGAAAGGGTCCCATCCTGGGTTACGGAAATATAATGCTATAACTTAATTTTAAATAGATCTGGTGGTAGCCAATGTGTGTGTGATGAACCGTGGAGATCTCTAGGTCCACGGACTTTCTATGCTCCACATAATACATTTCAAAAACAAAAGTTTTTAAAAAACACTTAAATTATAAAATATTTAATTTTATTCTCTTTATTACAGAATATTTTAAGAATATTATACAAGATACAAGAAAAATATTATATCCAAATACACTTTAGACATTAAAAAGTGAGTGTATTGCAAAAGACAAAGAATATATCTCGGATATTAGATACAAGTTAGGTGACTACGTACAGTTAAATCATTAAAAATATTGTATTGTAGGACAAGAAAATGTATCTAAAATATAGTTTAGACATCGAAAAATGTGTTACAGTAGGTATATCTGACATTAGAAACAAGATCTGCATACAAATTACCATTTACAAAATAAAAAGGGGAACAATGTATCATTGAGTTAAACCAGTATTTTACTATCTGTTAAACTGATTCCATAGTATTAATGTAATAAACTAACGCAAAAGTCTAGAATTTGGTTTTTGTTGAACATTTTTTTAAAAATCGAGGAATATAGTGGAAATTGGCCATTAAACAATGGTTGGATGTTTTATTGATTTGGTAAGTTACCAGTACTTCCATTGTTACCAGTACTTCCATCATCAAGCACATTCTTCAATTCTGTAATAAATGAAAACATAGTACAGTACTATACTTTTTGGTTGTAAATGAAAGAAATTGGAGAAGTGCTGCTCTCACGGTTGAGGCAAATGATACGAGTATACTGGCCGCAATAAGCAAAGGCTGAACACCTATTATTATTATTATTATTATTATTATTATTATTATTATTATTATTATTATTATTATTATTATTATTATTATCATCATCATCATGAATTTATTCGCGAGAATCGAAAGCATGATCGCTCTCTGAGCTCTGGTTGGTTGCGCATTTTTCGCTTGCTGATATTGTATTTATTATTATTATTATATTTTTTTTTATTATTAACATTGTTATTATTATTATTATTATTATTATTATTATTATTATTATATTCGCGCTAATCGGAACGTTGGTTGGCTTCCTACTGATTGGTTGCGCACTTTTTTCACTTCGCAAAAAGTAGAAAGCGTTCGAAATACTGATTTAGTTGAAGCGAACAACTCCAATAGGAATGTGAATGCACGTGCGCATGAACCAACGTTTTAGATTCCAGTCAATAAATTTACTTAGTGTAAAACCGGCTGTTTTTCACCATATTTTTATACCTCCATGCTTCCACAAACACTAGTGATTTTCCACTATATGGACATGACATCACACGCACATGATTTTGTCACACTAAGCTTGATGCTACTGTACAGACCTTTGGAATAAAAGCAGGATATTACAATGTGCAGCTAC